CCTCTATCCATCTTCTATCCGCCTCCCCCTCTCTCCCTATTTATTTCAGAATCCCCTCCCCCTCCCCCATAGGAAGAAGGGTCTAGGCCCGAAACGTCAGCTTTCCTGCTCCTCTGATGCTGCTTGGCCTGCTGTGTTCATCCAGCTCTACACCTTGTTATCTCAGTATCAATAGGGAAATGATGTTGTGGAAATTGACGGGATTAAAGACTGATAAATGCCCAGGGCCTGACAATTTACATCCCCCAGTGTTTAAGGAAGTGGCCCACGAAATAGTGGATACATTGGGTTATCTTTCAAGATCCTTTAGATACTGCAGTGGTTCCTACAGGTTGGAGGGTAGCTAATGTAACGCCACTAATTCAAACAGGAATGCAAAGAGAAACCAGGGAATTATAGATCAGTTAGTCCCTCATTGGTAGAGGGGTAAATACTAAAGTACATTATAAAACTTTAATAGCAGAGCAAGCAGGAACAGAGTATTAAGTGAATGATAGGATTGAACAGAATCAGCATGAATTTACAAAAGGGAAATCATGCTTGACAATTCGACTAGAATTCTTCAAGGACGTAACTGTAAGAGTTGATAAAGAGGAACCAGTGGATGTGGTTTATTTGAACTTTCAAAGGTTCCACAAAAGAGATTAGCATATAAAATTGAAGCACCTGGGATTGGAGATGGTGTACTGAGACGAATAGAGAACTGGTTGGCAGACAGAAAACAAGCAGTAGGAATAAATGAATCCCATTTCTGAAGAAGGGTCTAGGCCCGAAACGTCAGCCTTCCTGCTCCTCTGCGGCTGCTTGGCCTGCTGTGTTCATCCAGCTCTACACCTTGTTATCTTAGTAAGAATAAATGGGTCTTTTTCCAAATGGCAGTCAGTGACTAGTGGGATACCACAGGGATCAATGCTAGGACCTAGCTATTCACAATATAGATTAATGCTTTAGATGAGGGAATTAAATATAATATCTCCAAGGACGCAGATGACAGAAAAATGGGTGGGAGGCTGAGTTGGGAGGAGGATCCAGAGATGTTTCAGTGTGATTTGGTCAAGTTGAGTGAGTGGGCGAATATATAGCAGACATAATGTAATGTGAATAAATGTGAGGTTATCCACTTTGGTAGCAAAACAGGCAGGCAAATTATTATTGGAATGGTGACAGATTGAGAAAGGTGCAATAAGACCTGGGTGTCCTTGTGCACCAGTTACTGAAGGTAAGCATGCAGGTGCAGCAGGCAGTGAAGAAGGCAAATGGTATGTTGGCCTTCATAGTGAGAGGATTCAAGTACAGGAGCAGGGATGTCTTACTGCAACTGTGCAGGGCTTTGGTGAGACCACACCTGGAGTATTGTGTGCAGGTTTGGTCTCCATATCTGAGGAAGGATGTTCCAGGGTGTGCAGTGAAGGTTTACAAGACTGGCTCCTGGGATGGCAGGACTGATGTGTGAACTGGATTGGTTCGGCCTATATTCAGTGGAGTTCAGAAGAATGAGAGGAGGCTGTGGAGGGGAGAGAATCTCATAGAAACTTATAGGATTCTAACAGGACTAGACAGGGGAAATGCAGAAAGGATGTTTCCAACGATTTCCAAATGCTGAATCAGGGGTGACCGTAGAAGGAAATGGGGTAAACCATTTAGGACAGAGATGAGGAGAAACTTCTTCACCCAGAGAGTGGGGAGTCTGTGGAATTCTCTGCCACAGAAAGCAGTCGAGTCCAAAACATTGAATGATTTCAAGAGGGAGTTAGATATAGTTAGTTCTTAGGGTAAAAGAGATTAAAGGGTATGGAGAGCAAGCAGGAACAGAGTACTAAGTGAATGATCAACCATGATTATATTGAATGGCGGAGCAGGCTCAACAGGCCTAGTCCTGTTCCTATTTTTGATGTTGCTATGAGACAATGGTAGAACTGCAGAGGCCCCAGAAGACCCAAGTGTAATGGGGTATGTCAAAACAGGCAGTCAGATCCCAGGGCAAGCAGCAGGGGAAGCTTCTCAGTGCAGGACAGTCTCTTCCAGTTGAAACTTGGGGTCTAAACTTAGGGGGTAGATGATAGCCTAGTGGTATTATTGCTAGACTATTAATCCAGAGACTCAGGTAATGTTCTGGGGACTCAGGTTCGAATCCCACCATGGTAAATGGTGGAATTTGAATTCAATAATAATATGGAATCACAAGTCCAGTGATGACCTTGAATCCATTGTTGATTGTCAGGAAAAGACCTGCCTGGTTCACTAATGTCCTTTAGGGAAGGAAACGGCCATCTTTACCTGGTCTGGCCTACATGTGACTCCAGACCCACAGCAATGTGGTTGACTCTTAACTGCCCTCTGGTCAATAAATGCTGCTCCAGCCAGCTGATGCCCATATCCCAATAATAAATTTTTAAAAACTGTCTTTGCTGTTATGGGAGTCCCTCCTTGAGGCACCCTCACTGCCCCTCGTCTGGTCAGGGGGACAGAGTGTGCTGACCCTACACCTTCTCACACGGTGTTACTGTCTTCCTTGACAACACCCCGTTCACTCCTTGGGGAAAAGGAGGCTGTTTGAGTGTCGAACTCCAGCATCCATTCAGGCTGAAGCCTCCAATTCAGGCCGACCTTCCTGTGCAGTACTGAAGGAGCTTTGCAGGGTTGGAGATGTCCTAATTGTTCCCTCTCAAGTAAAAACTCCACAGTGCTCTTTAGAAAAAGAGCAGAGAGTTATCCCCAGGAACCAGGCCAATAGTGACATCATACAAACAGACTCATTATTCCAGAGGTGTTGGTGGAAGATTCCTGTGCACAAAATTTCCAACATTACAAACTTGACAACAGGTATTTCATTGGCTAAATATGCTTTGGGGAATCCTGAGTTTGTGGAAAGTAGTATAATAAATGCAAATTATTTGTTTTTTTTCATTACTTCAGCTATGAGCCTGGCTTGTCAAGTTACTTCTCACCTCATAGCCACCAATACTGATCTTGACAGAGACATCCAGAGGCTGATTGGTCACTCCAGCAACAGATTTGACCAACGACATAAAGAGCAGTGGGAACCACACGATGCAGATCAACGAGACAATGATGAGGCCACCCATTCCGTATTTAACCAGCATGTTCTTCTTCTGACCAGCTGCTTGTGGGTATCTCTGTTGAGAAGAAAGGAGAGACATGACAGTCCACAAGCATAGATCCCAGTGTGTGTACCAGAGAGAGACAGGAGCGGACCTACAGCAGCTGGGTTGCTGGGCTCGTGTGGAGGTGGAAGACACGAAACCTACTGTCTCAAGTTGTCTTCAGAGCATGACTGAATCTGACGGAATTGACCCTCCCACTCACAGGATCTTTTTACGAATTGGGAATTCAGACAAGGAGGCCAGCCTTCTCATTACATATGTTAATTTGTTCATTAAATGTCAGGTTCTGAACCACAAGGACCAGGGTTTAGGAATACAGTGCAGACTCTCCAGTGCAGTGCTGAGGGAGCTCTGCACTGTCAGAGGTACCACCTTTCACATGAGGCATTAAACTAAGCCCCCATCTGTCTGCAGTCACTGCTTCGAAGAGCAGGAGATTCATCTCCAGTGTTCTGGCCATCACCATCACAGAAACCAATTGGTCATTCGCACATTGTTAACCACATTCATAAATTCTGGTAGGCTCTTAGTCTCTGACAATGGACTCAATAAGATGGAAGACCCTGAGAGTGACAATTCAGAGCATCCACATCTGTTTGTGTTTTCTATATGTTCTCTATTTATGAGGTCTCTCAGTTGCCAATGTCTCTCACTTCACCCCCTCCCTCTGTGCCCTCTGTCTATACACCCTCCCTCCTTGTGCCATCTCCAAGTCCTTTCTCCCTCCGCTCACTCCCGGCAATCTCTCCTGCCCTGTCTCCATTTCCTCTGTTATCTCTCCATGCCCATTCTCTTTGTGTTAATCTGTGCCCTCTGCATATTATCCCCTCACCCCCTCTCCCTGACCTTTCCACCTACTCTCTCTTCATATCCTCTCACGACATGAAGCTTATTTGGTGAAAGGGTGACTAACCAGTAAATGGTACCACAGTTGCTGAGCTCCAGTTTCCTCCCCACCAGACTGATACATACCAGCCAACATTCACATTCATTCGGCTGGATTCAGCATCCTTAACCCTGTGAAGAAACCCAGTGGAGACCAAAGAGAAAAGAAGAGGGCTAACTTTAAGCTAATGCACTTGGTGTGAGAGTGAGGGCAATGGGTGAGCTATCTGACATTCCCCGTTTGCAGTCCCTGGCCACAGAAATGAGTATTCCTATGTCTTTGCTACTGGAGTTTCACTTAATGAATGGGCCAAAAATGAACCTTGTCTGAATTCCTACTTGTTCCTGAGTTCTGCAGCTGGTGGAAAATCTAATCCGGTGAAATCTACCCACAGAGTCTGCATTATAGTTAATTCTGTGCTCCAGGTTTGAAGACAACTGTAAAAAAAAAAGCAGCTGAGCTTAGTGGAGAATAAAAAGGGACACTGTGCAAAACGATTGCTTGTCCCTAACTCACCGTTGGAAGAAAATCAGACTTTGTGACTCCGGCAAGAGACTCGGAAGAGGGTAAGCACTTTTCTGGGCAAGGACACTGGTCTGGAAGAATGGGTGATGGTCTAGTAGTATTATTGCCAGACTATTAATTCAGAAACTGAACTCATGTTTTGGGGACTCGAGTTTGAACCCCGCCACAGCAGATGGTGGAATTTGAATTCAATGAAAAAAAAATCTGGAATTAAGAGTCTAATGATGACCACAAACCCATTGTCGATTGTTGGGAAAAACCCATCTGGTTCACTAATGTCCTTCAGGGAACAAAATCTGCCATCCTTACCTGGTCTGGCTTACATGTGACTCCAGACCCACAGCAATGTGGTTGACTCTTAACTGCCCTCTGAAATGGCCTAGCAAGCCACTCAGTTGTTCCAATCGCTATAAAGTCTCTTCAAGGGCAGTTAGGGATTGGCAATTAAATGCTGGCCAGCCAGCGACTACCACATCCCACAAATTAATTTTTTAAAAAAGCTGCAGTATTAATGGATTAACCCACCATCACTATATTCAAAAGGATATTGTCTCTTTGGTATTTCATTTTTAGCAAAACTAAAGACTTTATTAAAGGCCTAGAGTCCTAACCAAAAGGCACAGTGAAACAGATCGTCAGCTTAGGCCCAACATCTAAACAGGGCTGACAGCATACACTGTGTGGAATCCAGCGAAATACGAGAAGGAAATTACTTTATCTTATTGTTTACCACTTGTTTCCAGCCTATCACTGTTCTGATGGAAAATCAACTTAATCAGAAACATAAAACGCTGTATTCTTCCACTGAAACTTGCTGAGCAATTTGATGTTATTTCAGATTCCCAGCATTGATTTTACTTTGCTATGAATGATGAATTGGTATCTAAACCCTCACTGTCTGGAGATGGAGTGTTGGATCAATCGCTGAGGAGAGGTTAGATTGCAGATATTTTCCAATCAACCTGTTCAGAGATGTTATTACACCCTACTGAAGCAGGTGGGACTTCAATGTGGGCCTTCTGGTCTACAGATGTGTACAGTACCTCTGTGTCACAAGAGCCCAGAGATTAGACTACACATGTAACCATTCTATGCCCAAATAAAGTGAGGCTACCTGAGCCTAGTTGAGCTTTTCTCAACTCACAGGTTACTTGTTGCTCACCTTCTCGGACTCATTCCAGCATTTCAGGATGAACACGTTGGCATAAATGTCCTCCACACAAATCCAGCTGGAGATACTGAGTGTGGTGTCTGTCCATACCCAATCCATCGCTGCCCTTAGCTCTGTCAAAAAGGGCACCAAACGGAATCTGAAACCATCCAAGAAAGCTGATTAATGGAGGATAGAGTTTTCAGGCAGGGTTCACAGATGTTTAAGTGGGTCAGGTGTCTAGATGGTTAAGTGTACAGAGACTGGCTTGAACAGTTTGTACAACATGTGGTAGATTGTTACCAGGCAAAATCTTCATCTTAATCAAAGCACACATCTCAATCTCACACTTAAAGCCTCGATTTAAGCAGCTGTCATCTGTAGAACTGTCACAGCATCTGTAAATATCATTTCATTCTGTATTATTTCTGTAAATATCATTTCATTCTTCTATGTAAAGAATTGAGAAGACACCAACACATGACAATATTCTTTATTTGTGTGTGTACATGTGCGTGTATGTGTGTGTGTTTGTATTTGTGTGTGTACGTGTGTGTGTAGATATTTGTGTGTGTGTACATGTGTATGTGTAGATGTGTGTGTGCGCGCGTGTGTGATAGATACTGAGACAGTTCAGGAGAGGCCACAGTTTGAATCTTGCTGTGTTAGGTCATGTTGATAAAGCTTATGGCAGGGATTCCATTACAATGACTGGTGTATGAGGAAAGCTGCATCAGGCAGGGTTCCTGTCCTGAACACTAGCTGTGACCTCCACCTTCTGTTGGTGGGTTTGAGTCTGTGCCTAGCGGATACCCAGGGTGTTTATCGAAAGCTGGCAGATTAGTAAGTACAACACAAGCAGAAAATCATGGGGGCTAACAAAAAATGAGAACCATACTGACTATAAAAAGTTCTAAGGATGGGTGAAAAGCAAAAAAAGTAAAAAGTGAGTGTATGAAAAGAGACTAGTAGCTCGGTTACAGGGGAATTCAAAATAATCAAAAATCCAAAAGGCACACAGTATTAAAGGGGCAGTAAGAGAGGCCATGGGACCAATTAGGAATCAAAAAGGACATTACTGCAGGGCAATGGAGGGTTGAGATACTAAAGGAGTATTTTGTATCTGTCTCCATCTTCTTCACTACCTACGGTCATCTAATTGATTGCCAGTTAGAATCACCTAGAATTTGAATCTCTGTGCTGCTACTTGATTATAAATCTAGTAACTTTTTATCAATAAAGATGATGCTGACAAGGTCATAGTGAAAGAGGAGCAACATTATTCCAGTACAAAATTACGCACTCAAGTTGAACGAGAAAGAAAATTATTAGTAAAGAAAATTTGACGAGGAAAAGTCATGTTTCTCCAAACTGATTGAGTTTTTTTTCATTGATGAAGGTCAATCTGTTGATGTTAGTGAATGTGGATTTCCAGAAGGTGTTTGGTAAACTGATACACAGTAGGGACTGTGAGCAAAGTTGGAGTCAATAGAATAAAAAGCTCAGGGGCAACATGGATACAAAGTTGGCTGAGCTGTGGGGATGGGTTGCATTTTGGACAAAAGGTAGGAATACAGTGGGATTCTCCAGAGATTGGAACTGGGACCACTGCTTACTCCTATTTAAAATAATGTCATTGACTTGAGTGTACGGGCACAATTTCAACATCTTCAGACAACATAAACACGTAAGTATTGTAAGGAAGATAATAGTGTACTTCAAGGGGATGTAAAGGCTGGTGGAATAGTGGGCACAGAGAAGTGTAAAATGTGGCATTTACCCAGATGACCAATGCTGGTACTTTATAGTATTTACCACCTCTACCAGTCAGTGGCACTGGGTAAGGGCTGTTTGAGGTAGTTTGCTGTCACCAATCTTTTCTGCTCCTATGATGCTGCTTGGCCTGCTGTGTTCATCCAGCCCTGCTCCTTGTTGTGTCGGATTCTCCAGCATCTGCAGTTCCTACTATCTCTAAACGAAATAGTTAGTAAGTTTGCACATGACACCAAAATTGGTGGTATCGTGGATAGTGAAGAAGGTTATCTAAGATTACAAAACGATTGTGATTGATTGGGTCAATGGGCTGAGGAATGGCAGATGTAGTTTAATTTAGATAAATGCAAGCTAATGCATTTTGGTAAGACAATAAAGGGCAGTACTTATACAATTAGAAGTAAGGCCTGTTGTAGAACAGACACTGAGGAGTTCTGGTACATAATTCTATGAAGTTTGCATTACATGTGGACAGGGTGGTTAAGAAGGTGTTTAGCACGCTTGCCTTCATTGCTCAGAGCTTTGAGTATTGAAGTTGGGAAGTCATGTTGAGGTTGTACAGGATGTTGCTGAAGCCTCTTCTGGAGAACTGTGCCTAGTTCTAGTCGCTCTGTTATAGGAAGGATATTATTAAACTGGAGAGAGATCAGAAAAGATTTAGCAGGATGTTGCCGGGAATGGAAGGTTTGAGTTATAAGGAGAGGCTGGATAGGCTAGGATTTTTTACACTGGGGTGTAGCAGGTTGAAAACCTCCTAGAGAAAACCTTATAAAGGTTTCCAAATCATGAGGGCTATAGATAAGGTGGATGACAGGTGTCTTTTCCCAATGCTGGGGGATTTCAAGTCCAAGGGACATATTTTTAAGAGACAAAAAAAAAACTGCAGATGCTGGAATCCAAGGTAGGCAAACAGGAGGCTGGAAGAACACAGCAAGCCAGGCAGCATCTGGAGGAAAGGAGCAGTCAACATTGCTGGTATTTTCCTTCCATCCGAAATGTTGACCGCTCCTTTCTTCTAGATGCTGCCGGGCATATTTTTAAGGTGAGCGGAGAAAGATTTAAAAAGGACATGAGGGGCTACTTTTTTGTACAGAGTGGTTTATGTGTGGAATGAATTACCAGAGGATGTGGTGGATGCAGGTACAGTTACAACGTTTAGAAGACATTTGGATAAGTTCTTGAATGAGAAAGGTCTGGATGAATATAGGCCAAGTGCAGGCAGGTGGGACTGTTTAGTTTGGGAACATGGTCAGCATGGACTCATTGGACTGAAAGATCTGTTTCTATGCTGTATGATTCTATAATCCTCCCTTGACTTGGGTCTGTTGGTGGTAGACAATAAGCACAGAAGAGACTGTTCTGACATAACAAGTGGTTTACTGCATGATAACAATAAATCCAACAAAATTTGGTGAGGTAGCCTTACTAGCACCGTTTGGAGCTGGTCCAGATACATCTATGCCTTCCAAAAGCTATGATGTGGAGGTGCCAGTGTTGGTCTGGAGTGGACAAAGTTAGAAGTCACATGATACCAGGTTATAGTCCGACAGGTTTATTTGAAAACATAAGCTTTTGGGGCGCTGCTCGTTCATCAGGTGATGAGAAGACCAGCTCACAGGCACAGAATCTCACAGGCAGAGAGATCAAAGATTGTACAAACAGTGTGAGTGGACTATTGACAGGCTGAACAACAAGTTTCTGCAGGTGATCAAAAGTGTCAAACGGTGTGAGTAAAGTGTCACCAGCTGAATAGCAAATGAAGGGATGACCTATGATCCGACTAATTGAGGCAGATATAATTACAAAAAAAATGCTGGAGACAAACCAAATACAACATGATAGGCATAAGAGTCACCTGCTCAGCGACTCTACATTGTTGTGTATCTCAAAGGCCACCTTGGAGGATGCTAACCCAAAGACCATGCTGATGCTACGACAATAGATAAATGGACACCACGCAACAAACGCCAGTCAGGAATGTTCCCTCCCAGTTGAGGCACACTTCAGCGGTCAAGGACATTCAGCCTCCAATCTTCGGGTAAGCGTCTTCCAAGATGGCCCTCGAGATACATGACAATGTAGAGTCGCTGAGCAGAAACTGACAGCCAAGTTCCGTACCCACAAAGATGGCCTCAACCGTGATCTTGGGCTCACATCGCGCTACATATCACCCCAGCACACTGTTCTGTATCTGTAAAATCTTCCTTACTGTCCTGTTTTAACACCATCACATTAATAACTTGTTATGATCTCTCTACCTTAATTAGTTTGTACAGTTTTGGATTACTTATTACTTTGGTTAGGCCTCAGTATGTGACTGTTACGCCTATCATGTTATTCCAATCATTTGGTTTGTCTGCAGCAGCACCTTATTTTAAATTTTTTGTAATTATCTCTCTGCCTCATTTAATCAGATTATAGGTCATCCCTTCACTTGCTATTCAGCTGTTGACACTTCACTCACACCGTCTGACACTTTCGATTTTTAAAAAATTCATTCATGGGATGAGGATGTTGCTGGCTAGGCAGCATTTATTGCCCATCCCTAATTGCCCAGAGGGCAGTGAAGTGTCAACCACATTGCTGTGAGTCTGAAGTCACATGTAGGCCAGACCAGGTAAGGATGGCAGTTTCATTCCCTTAAGGGCATTAGTGAACCAAATGGGTTTTTTCTGACAATCGACAATGGATTCATGGTCATCATTAGATTCTTAATTCCAGCTATTTATTGAATTCAAATTCCATCATCTCCCATGGAGGGATTTGAATCTGGGTCCCCAGAACATTATCTGGATCTCTGGATTAACAGTCCAGTGATAATACCACTAGGCCATCGCCTCCCCCTACTGCAGAAACTTGTTCAGCCTGTCGACACTCCACTCACACCATTTGTACTATCTTTGATCTCTCTGCCTAAAGATTCGGTGTCTGAGTGCTTCTCTTCACTTCACCTGATGAAGGAGCAGAGGTCCAAAAGCTTGTGATTTCAAATAAACCTGTTGGACCATAACCTGGTGTTGTGTGACTTCCAAACGCTAATGTTAGACCCTCCCTGTTTCCACCCTCTGACCACGTGACATCAGAAAAACAGGCAGGGCCAATGTAAGGTGGGATTGGCCCTTTCAAAACCATTACTTTACACAACATGATGTGATTCATTTTGATGGAAAGAACAAGCAGAGACAATAATAAATAATAACCTTTTAAAGGGGGTGCAGAAGCAAATCATTGAAGGTGGCAGGACAGGTCAAGAAAGTGGCTAAAAAGATACCTGTCATCTGAGCTTTCTGAACACAAAAACAAGGAAGCTATATTGAACATTTATTAAATGCTAGTTCGGGCTAAACTGTTTATCATGTCGGGCTATGAAGTTTATTGGAAAGTGTGAAAGTCTCAGAGAGGGTGCACACAAAATTCACGAGGATGGTTCCAAATACGAGGAGCATCAGTTATGTGGAGACATTGGGGAAGCTGGGGCTGTCTTCTTTCAAGAAGAGAAGATTAAGGGGCGATATTATAAAAGTGTTCAAAATCATGCAGGATCAATAGAGGAGATGGGGAGAAAGCTTCTAATTGGCAGAAGGGCCAATATCCAGAGGACACTGATTTAAAGCGATTGGCAAAAGAAGTTAAAATGGCTATATAACATAGAATACGCTCTAATATTTTTAATCACCGAATGGTTAGGGTCTGGAATGTACTGTCTGAGAGTGTGGGAGAAGTAGGTTTGTGCAAGTGGTTAGGGTCTGGAATGTGTTGTCTGAGAGTGTGGGGGAGGTAGGTTCATGCGAGTCATGATTTCAAGGTGAGAGGGTAAAAGTTTAAGGGAGATATGCGTGGAAAGTTCTTTACACAGAGGGTGGTGGGTGCCTGGAACACGTTGCCAGCAGAGGTGGTAGAATTAGGCATGATAGCATCATTTAACTTGTATCTAGACAGATACATGAATTGGCAGGGAGCAGAGGGATACAGATCCTTGGAAAATAGGCGACAGGTTTAGATAGAGGAACTGGATCGGCGCAGGCTTGGAGGGCCTGTTTCTGTGCTGTAATTTTCTTTGTTCTATGTTCTTTGAGTGGTTAGGGTCTGGAATGTGTTGTCTGAGAGTGTAGGGCAGGCAGGTTCACTCGAGTGATAAGGGTCTGGAATGTGTTGTCTGAGAGTGTGGGGGAGGCAGGTTCACTCGAGGCTTTCAAAAAAGAATTGTAACACCTACACAAAACTCAAGGTGAGAGAGAGAGGATAGAGGAGTGGGATTAGTCACATTGAGGGAAAAGTCATAAATGGTCACATGGAAAAATCAAATTGAGCAGTGAGAAGATGTCCTTTCCGTAAAAGTGAGGGGGTATTTGGATAGCTGCCCATAATTATCCAAGCTTACAGAATGCAAATGGTGATAGATCAATGGAATAGTAATTCAGAGACCCAGGCCTACGCTCTGGGGCTTGAAGCAGGAAGTGCAGCTGCAGAGAGAAACAAGGTTAATGTTTCGAGTCCTTGATACTCTTCTTGAGCACTTGGGTACAAATCACAAGCTAATAAGATTTAAATTCAATAAATAATTCTGGAACTGAAAATTAATCTCAGTAATCTCAGAAACTATTACTCATTGTTGTAAAAACTCATCTGCGGTCCTTTAGGGAGGGAAACTGCCATCCTTACCTGGTCTGGCCTACATGTGACTCCAGGCCCACGGCAATGTGGCTGATCCTTAACTGCCCTCTGACATGGTCAAAAGGTATTCAGTTCAAGCAATGGTAACAAATGGGATTAGATAGAATGCATAGAGTCATAGAGGCATAGAGTCATAGAGACATACAGCACAGAAACAGACCCTTTGGTCCAAACTTGTCCATGCAGACCAAATATCCTAAATTAATCCAGTTTCATTTGCTAGCATTTGGCTCATATCCCTCAAACCTTTCCTATTCACATATACCCATCCAGATGCCTTTTACGTGTTGTAATTGTACCAGTCTCCACCACTTCCTCTGGCAGCTCATTCCATACGTGCACCACCTTCTGCATGAAAATGTTGCCCCTTAGGTCCCTTTTTAAATCTGTCCTCTCTCACCTTAAACCAATGCCCTCTAGGTTTGGACTCCTCTAGCCTGGAAAAAGACCTTGGCTATTCACCCTATCCATGCCCCTCATGATTTTATAAACCTCTATAAGGTCACCGCCTTAGCCTCTGTCGTTCCAAGGAAGATAGCCCCGGCCTATTCAGGCTCTTCCTATAGATCAAACCCTCCAACCCCAGCAACATCCTTGTAAATCGTTTGTGAACACTTTCAAATTTTGCAACATTTTTCCTATAGCAGGGAGCCCAGAATTGAATATAATATTCCAAAAGTGACCTAACCAATGTCCTGTACAGCTGCAACATGACCTCCTAACTTCTATTCGCCAATAGTTTGTTGGTTGTTTTTGACTAGTATGGACACGATGGAAGGAAGAACCCTTTTCTGTGCTGTAGGTCTCTAGGACTCTATTTTGGACTTGCAGGCAAAGCCCACATCCCACGAAGGAATAAATTATTTTTTAAAAATTTCAATTTCTGGTCAGCTGGTTGAGTTCGCTAACCAACAAGGAATCTATCCCAAACACATTTTTGCTTTGCTTTGACATTCAGCCTTTGCTTGCTTAAAATGATCTTCTGCGTCAGCTAAAACCAGCGCCTCCTGCCTAACTGCTTGCTTCACCTGTACTGCAGTGTAGAACTTTACTTACGCTTGGAAGAGGAAGAGGTTGACGTAGTTGTAACTCTTGGTTAAGAAGTTGCCGAGCACTCTGTTGGGATAGCCGCACTTGATCTGATACGCTGACAAACCGAAGTAAATACATTTAACAAAGTACCAAAGCTGAGCAACTGGGTTTCGGTTAAACCTCCTGCAGTCAGAAATTATAACAACTTTTAGACAACAGAAAGCAGGTAGGACTTATCACACATCATCACACTGGAAAATTGCTTTCACAGCTTATCAAAATGTAGCTATCTCTGTAAATGACACCATTTCTTTCATCTTCTGGTTATATCACATCTATCAGCGTGGGTTGAAGACAGAATGATCAAGGAGAAGGCAAAGAACTGCCTTTAGTTTTAGGCTTCTTTCCAACATTAAATATGTCACAAACAATCTAAACTCTAAAATACATGGGAATTTAGAAATGTCAGGCTCTAAACTTACTGCCAGATTAATGAAAACTATTCCACAAACTCTACCACCCAATGCTAGTCAGTCTACTTCACATGTCTATCTCACATTCACACAGTTAGAATTCAGACCCTTGCCTAACTCTCCATGTCTTTCTCTCTTTTCCATCCCTTTAAACCCACCCACACTGTTTCATTTACATCAAACGAGGAGTAGCTCTGTGACATCATCATGAGGTTGCTCCAGGGACATTTCACCCATTGCTGAACTATCTCAAACCACAGGGAAATCGGTGATCAGCTCCTAGGACCTGGGCATATGATAGCAGGACAACCTTTAGCTAATGGTGTCCAGCTCATGAATCCCACTGGTTCCTCATCCTAGATGAGAGTCATACCGTGGCTTGGGGCTGACCATTTCATGACAATCTTTTTCCTATTCCATTCTTGGTAGGACATAAGTCCTTCTTAAATCTTACTGTAAACATACACAAGAGAGTTAGTGCTTTGTAATGGTCTATGTTACCTTTCAGTCACCCCAGGGAGGATGAAGAACATCCAGAAATGGATCCCAAGTACCATGACAACCTGAAAGACAACCTTCCCCATGACGGTCTTCCTGAGGTAGAGAGCACGGTCAACCACCATGGTGGCAAACTGAACCAATACCATCACGAGGAACACTTGGGGCACCTGATCCTCTGAGAGGGATTCCGTGATGTCAGCCACAGCTGTGTATCTCTGTAGAAGCAAAACATAGCCCAGTGTAAGAACAAAGAGGAGTAGGACTAGGCCATTTGGCCCCTAAAACCTGCCATGCCTTTCAACAAGACCATGTCTGATCTATCCAAGGCCTCTTTCGTGCCGGCCCATCATAGCTGCCAACTTCCTGATATCTCAAAAATCCAACTCCCTTTCTCTTTAAACCCTTTCAGTGATCTCGCCCCCACATTTCACTGGAATAAAGAATTCCAGACGTTCACTACACTCTGGGAGAAGAAATCCCTTTTCCTCAGTTTTAAATGCATGTCCCCTTATTCTGGAGCCATCTCCCTTGTTTGAGATTCCCCTAGTCATGAAAACATTTTCCTAACATCTACTGTGTGTTAAGTCTCCTCAGAATCATATGTGTTTCAATAAGATCTCCCTCCATTCTTCTAAACTCTAATGAATAAAGGCCTTGTATAATTGCAGCAAGGCATCCCTGCTCCGCTCATCGAATCCTTTCGTTATGAAGGCCAACATACCACTTGCCTTCTTCACCACCTGCTGCACCTGCTTATTCCACCTCCCTCTTTCCCAATTTATCACCACTCAGGAAATAATCTGCCTTCCCGTTCTTGCTAACAAAGTGGATAACGTCACATTTACCCACATTATACAGCATCTGCCGTGCACTCACCCACTCACTCAGCCTGTCCAAATCACACTGAAGCATTTCCGCATCCTCCTCCCAGCTCAGCCTCCCACTCAGCTTTGTCATCTGCAAATCTGGGGATATTATATTTAATTCCCTCATCTAAATCATTAATATATATTGTAAAAAGCTGGGATCCTAGCACTGATCCCTACTGTACCCACTGGTCACTGCCTGCCTGGTGGCTGGACTGTTAATCCAGAGACCCAGATAACATTTTGTGGACCTGGGGTTCGAATCCCGCCATGGCAGATGGTGTAATTTGAATTCAATAAACATCTGGAATTAGGAATCTAATGATGATCATGAATCCATTGTCAATCATTGGAAAAACCCATCTGTTTCACTAAAGTCCTCTAGGGAAGGAAACTGCCATCCTTACCTGGTCTGGTCTACATGTGACTCCAGACCCACAGCAATGTGGTTGACTCTGAACTGCCCTCTGGGCAATCATGGATGGGCAATAAACGCTGCCTAGCCAGCGATGCCCTTAGTTCGTTAATGAATAAAATAAAGACTCGTTCATTCTTATTCTTTGTTTCCTGTCTGCCAACTAATTCTCTATCCATGTCAGCACACTACCCCCAATCCCATGCACTTTAATTCTACACAGTAATCTCTTATGTGAAACTTTACTGAAAGGCTTCTGAAAGTCCACATAAGCTACAAACACTGGGTCCCTCTTATCAACACTACTAGTTACACCCTCAAAGAATTCCAGTAGATTTTGTCAAACAAGATTTCCCTTTTGTAAATCCATACTGACTCCATCCAATCCTGTCACTGTTTTCCAAGTGATGTCCCATTATTGAGTGAAGAAATCTTTCTCTATGACAGTTTTAAATGACCTGCCCTGTATCTTGAGACTGTGTGTGGTCTCACAAAGATGTGGGATAACTGCAGTAAAACATCACTACTTCTGAGTACAAAATTGTTTTAATTATTGTCTTTAAATATTCTTTGGCTGTTTTCTTACTCTTGTCATATTCAACACCAGCCACCTTTGAATAAACCAATTATTTATCTATCTGTCACTCTCTGTCTGTCTATTATCAGAATTTAACAATAAATAGATAACAGCAACTGGAGACAAAAACAGAGTGAATACTTTGGTTTTCCTGGGTTTAGTTATTGTCATCTGTTTACTTTTCAACATTGAAGGTGACGTCAAAGGAGCAGTTCATTCATGAAGAGACTGAAATAACTTTGAATTAAAGGTTACTTTGGGCTTTGGCTGGTTTGGATGTCATGGTCCCATCCCTGGAATCTGCTAAAATACATTCCAAAAACATTAGTGCTGCCTTCTCTATGGCTACACTTCAAAGTGCATCAGCAAAGCATACAAACCTGAACCAGTAAAGTTTAACTGTAATTGCAGAATCCCACACTTACTCCGAATGCCCAATATCCAAAAATGGTGATGATGAAGTTAATGACGTCAATGAGGAACATTAATGCGTAGACATCACACACTGCATTATATTCAGGATGGATAATGTTGTAGAAGAATTCTTTAATGGGCAGGTAGATTTGAAGAGCTCTGTTGGACACAAGGAAACAAGACAATGCAATAAATGTTTTACATAAATGTTGATCTACAATGGAAATGTATGTCCATGTCCATTTTATTAACACCATTAAGATGTGCAAAGATCACCTTCCATTCACAGCTAATAGTTTCAACTAAAAACAAAAGTAAAAATAATGAAGGTCTCACCATTAATGACTACTGGAGCACACTACCAATTGATCAAAATGGTGATAAACTGTTCAGCTTTGACAAGATGAGGCAAGGCAGTGGCTGAGAAACTGGAAAATTGAAGGATGAACTGGATTGATGATTGACAAACCCAGTGGACCAGGTGAGGTGCTTCCCAGAATGTGGAAGGAGGTGGCTTGAGAGACAGTAGATGCTTTTGGTGATTATCTTTCAGAAATCTATAGATTCTGGAAAGGTTCCTGCAGATTGGAAATTAGTAAATGTAACCCCACTGTTTAAGGAAGGAGGGAGAGGAAGATTGGAAAACTAAGAAGTGTTTGGCATCAGTATTAGGAAAAATGTTGGCATTAATTTTAAAGTATGTATCGACTAGACTTAAAAAAAATGGTAAAATGATCGCAGTCAGCATGAATTTATGGAAGAGAAATCACATTAACAAATCTGCTGGAGATATTTGAGGATGTTACTTTTATTATATATGTAGGAAAACCAGTGGTTGTGGTGAATTTGGATTTTCTGAAGGCTTTTGATAAGATCCCATAAGACACAATAAAACTGGAGCATAGGGGATTGAGAAAAATATACCAGTATGGATTCAGAATTGGTTAATAAGCAGGAAGCAGGCAGTAGGAATAAATGCAAGCTGTTAATGGGGCACCACAAGGGTAATTGCTGGGTCAACAACTGTTCACAATCTATAAAAATAATTTTGATGTGGGGAGAAAATATAATATTTCCAAATTAGCTAATGAAATCAAGCTAGGTGGGAATGTAGTTGTGAGGGGAATGAAGAGGGAGGTGTCAAGCCGAATTGAAGGAAGGTTAAGAGACTGAGCAAGAACATAGCAGATAGAATATGAAATGAGTAAAGATGAAGTTATTCACTTTGGTTAAAAAGAGGCAGAATATTTCTTAACCAGTGAGAGGTTGGGAGATGAGAGGGTCCAAAGGTGTCCTTGTTCACAAGTCACTAATGGCTAGCATGCAGATGCAGCAAGCAATTAGAAAGGCAAATATAGAGTTGGTATTCACTCGAGATTAGACATGAACATAGCTTTCTGCAGTTGTGTATAGCCTAGTGAGACCTCACCTGAAATACTGCATACAGTTTTTGTCTCTTTATCTAGGGAAGGACACACTTGGCACCAGGGGACATAATCTCAGGATAAGGGATCAAGACAGAGATAAGGACGAATTTCTTCTTTTAGAGAGTGTTAAACTTTGAAATTCTCTACACAGAGGCTGTGGAAACTCAATCTTTGAGCAGGTTCAAGACAGAAATTGACAGGTTTCTGGAGACAAGTGGCATCAAGCAAAATGGAGATGGTATGAGACAGTGGCACTGAGGAGACGATCCATCTTGATCTAATTGAACGGTGGAGCTGACTTGGCAAGACGAATGGCCTGTTCCTCTCCCTGAATACTGCTGCCTGAATCTCACTACCTTATGCAACATCCCGCCCCATGGGCCCAAGTATCTGTGGCCCATGAATCACCTGTTCAGTCACTTAAAGATCTTTGGCAGAAACTAATAACTGAATAGACATCATCCCCAAATTGGAGGACAGCACATGATACTGTCCTGTACACAGTGGCTTCTTCCAGGACCCACAAAGTCCAGCATTCCACTGATCATTTTTTACACCGTGATAATCGATGGCATTACCATCACTACATTCCTACTGTCAACATCCTGAGTGTTCCCATTGATCAGAAACTCAACTGGACTCATCACATAAACACCACATAAAAAGTAGGTCAGAGGCTGGGAATCCTACAGTGAGTAACTCACCTCCTGACTCCCCAAAGCCTGTCCACCATCTACAAGGCACAAGTCAGGAGTGTGATGGAATACTCCCACGTTGCAGCTCCAACAATACGAAGAAGCTTGTCATCATCCAGGACAGAGCAGCCCACTTGATTGACACTACATCCACAACCATCCTTTCCATTCACCACATACGCTCTGTAGCATCAGTGTATACTATCCACAAGATGCATTGCATAAATTCACCAAAGATTCTTAGATAGCACCTTCCAAACCCATGAACATTTCATCTAGAAAGATAAAGGTAGCAGATACATGGGAACACCACCCCCTACAAGTTCCCCTCCAAGTCACTCATCATCCTGACTTGGAAATATATCGGAGTTTCTTCATTGTCACTGGGGGTCAAAATCCTGGAATTCCCTTCCAATGGCAGCATTTCAAGAAGGCAGCTCACCACCACCTTCTCAAGGGCAACTAGGGATGGGCAATAAATGCTGGCCCAGCCAGCAACACTCACATCCCATGAGTGACTAAAAATATTGGAATATTTTTCGGGAACACATGCAGCTCTGTGAATATTTACAGTGAATCTGTAACTTACTGTGAAATAAAGACTCACCTCTCATCTTTTAATTTCCATTATTCCTTTTCAGGAGCTCAGAGTGGCCCAAATTCTAAACTCTCATGTTTCTACTAATCTTACAAACAGCAAGCTTTTAAAAATGACCTGTGAAAATGATCTGATTTACTTTTATGCATCCATCAATCCTTCACCCAGAGTTCTCAATTTTAACCTATTTTTTATTGATTTATAAAACCATGTTGGCCAGGATACTGTTTAATTCGGTTGCGTTAGCAATCACTTTAAAATTCAGATTCAAACTTCCACCTTTACTTTAAAACTATGAGACAAGTCTTCCCACAATTACGTCTTTCTCGGTGTAAGGGTTCTTCACTACAACAATCTCTGCAACTCAATCTTGCTAACATTTGGTATTTCCTAGGTACATGTGCGCTTGGTGATTTTGAGATGATCTACATACGAGCGTATAAACATTGAGTAGGATTAAGCTCAGCTCCTCCAACTTGCTCCACCGTTCAATAAGATCATGACTGATCTAATTGTGACCCTGAATCCACACTCCCGCTTGTCCCGATAACCTTCCACCCCCTTCCTTATTCTCAAGGAAGGGCAGTGGATACAGGCTGATTAATAACTTTGAGCGTAATTATTTGTCTTCATAACATGATTCCTTCTCTGTGACCTGCCACCACTGCATTAATCCCCCTGCTGCACAATTGCACTGATACGTCCCTGTTATCCAAGTATCCTCCTCCTCCACCACCTTTGTTGCTCTATCACTACTACTTACTAAATTACTTCCAAAAGCATGTTACCCATTTCCCCCAACTCACCCACCCCCTGAAAAAGAGTCGGCTTGTTTACAAACATACTGCAAATAATCTGCAGCTGTTGTAAAGTAACAGATTGGCTTGAACAGAGGGAAATGTCACGGAAAAAATACAGTGAAACGCTTCACTGAAATCCAGTTCCGTGTTGCTCAAGTGTTTTTTGGCGATGTTACAACAGAAAGCCCACTGCCCACGATATTAAAGCACAGCATCTTCAGGAATGCTTCATTTCAGAAAAGAATGTTTCTTACATGACAGTAATGTATCTTTTTGCCATCTGTGTCTTCTCTCTGATTTGCTCCTTGACAGTATCTCTTAATCGCTTCTCTGCCTTTGGGGATTCCCTCTTCTTCTTTCTGGATCTCTTTGGAGCTTTTACTCTTTCTGAAGAGAAAGGCAGGCAGAGAGAACCTCATTACACACACAGCCATGAGTTAATATTCTGAATGTTCTCTCACTGAGAATGTAAGGAAGAGGAGGAGCAGTAGACTGTTGGACCCCTCCATGTGGTCAAACCAGATCTTCTGCCTCAGCTTTCCTCCCTGCTCCCCATATCTCTAGATTTCCCAAGAGGACAAAGAGCCATAGGAGAGTCAAATAGCATAAAATCAGGCCCTTCGGCCCACTATCTCTGTGCTGACCAACAAACACCAAACTACACTTATCCCATTTGCTTGCAATTGGTCCGTGGTCCTCTATTTTAAGTACTTATCCAGATGCTTCCTAAATATTGTAAAGGTTCCTGCCTCCATGCTGCCACCACCCTCTCAGGCAGCATATATTTCTACCACTCTCTGGATGAAAACATTTTCCCTCAGATTTGCTCTAAACCACTTACTCCACACCTTAAACTTATGCCCTCCAGTCTTAGACAGGTCTGCCATGGGGAAACAATTCTCACGATTTACTCTGCCTACGTCTCTCATAATTCTGTACACCTTAATCAGATGGCCTCCCTCAGCCTTCTCTGCTCCAAGGAAAACAATCCCAGCCTATCCAGTCTCTCCTCATAACTGAGACTTTCATTCTGGGCAACATCCTGGTGAACCCCCTCTGCACCCTCCCCAGTGCAATCATGTCCTTCCGATAGTGTGGTGGCCGGAACTGCACACAGCATTCCATCTGTGGCCTAAGCAATGTTTTACAAAGTTGTAAAAATACTTCCTTGTTCCTATATTCTGTGCTCCAGCTAAAGAAGGAAAGCATCTTGATTGTCACCTTCACCACCTTGTAGATAGATCTCTCTATCCCAGCCTCCAATATGCTCACACGCATGGAAACACACACAGGCGCACATACACCCTCTTTCCCTCCCCTCTGGAGTAAAGAGCTCTAAAGATTCACAGCCCTCTGAGGGAGTAAATCTTTTCTCATCTTATCCTGAGCCTATGTCCCATGTTTCAGAAACCACTTACTATTTACTTGGGTCCAGCCCATTTGCAATCTTGTGACTTTCTTAAGATCAACTCTCATTCTTCCAAAGTGCAGACAGTATCGAACCAATTTACTCAGCCTCTCATTATAGAAGATTTTGTTCAATGCCTTCCTGTTCCACAGAAGAATATAGTGAAGCTGTTCAGTTGCCTGCACTGTCATTCTGTAAGATCAAAACTGCTCTATGCTAAAAATCCCATTTCCACACCTTCGCTCTATTCGCAATCTTACTCAAGAAAATATATCAACTCAGTCTTAAAGCTGCAATTGTCCTCAGTTATTTTAAATAAATACATACCTCTGGAAGTATTTTTGAAGTGCAGTCACTATCATTAAAAAAAACTGCCAATAACATATAGTAACATCCTAGAAACAGCAACTAATCTAAATCATCATTGAATCTGTTTTACTGATGTTGGTTAAAGCATGAATATTGGCTTAGACTGAAGGAATACCAAGCTGTACCTTAGCACAAGATAAAGCAAGTACACCTGAATGAATGTGTGTGTTTTCTGTATGTGCGTGCATCTCTGTGTGCATGAGCTTGTTTCTGTGAGTTTCTGTGCATTTCCATGCATGTTCCCATTTGTGTGTGTTTCTGTGTGTGAATGCTTCTGTGCGTGTGTCCATTCATGTATTTCTGTGCGTGTATATTTTGTTGAATGTTGGTTTTCCATGTGTGTGTTTCCGCATGAGCATTTTTCTGTATATGCACGTTTCCATGTGTGCAAACATGCCCATGCATGTGTGTTTCCGTGCATGCATGTTTCAGAACATGCATGTTTTCAGAAGTGTGAATGCTTCCACGCATGTTTCTGCTCATACATTTCTGTGCATAGGAGTATGTTTCCGTTCGTGTGTGTTCCCATGCATGTGTGCGTGCTTCTGTGCCTGTGTGCGCGTTACTGCATGTATTTCTGTGAGTGTTTCCATGCATGTGTTTTTCCGTGTGTGCGTTTCTGTGCGTAATGGTTTCCATGCGGGTGTGCACCATGCACATGTGAGCATTTGCATATGCATGTCTGTTTCTTTGGGTGTTTCCATATGCTCATGTTTTTGCATGTGTTTTCACACATTTTCTATGTGTGTCTCCATACGCATGTGCATTTTTATGTAGCTGGGTGAATTGTCAGTTTGCGCCAAACATTAAACTCTCATAGCTTTCGCAGTTTGATTCTTCCGTTCTTTTCCCCAACACTCACTCGCTTACCTGATAATCGCCTGGAACTGTTTTTCCTCTCTGGGCCCCGTTCAGTGTCCTGCAGGCTCACTGTTTGTGTGTTCTCATTGTCCTCCTGTGCCTCTCCCAGGTTCTGACTGTTGCTTTGTTTCTGCTTCTTCTCAAAGTGCTGCCCCTTCACTGCATCATGGGAATCCCACAGACCATGGCACTGTCACAGAATGTGGGTGATGTGAAAGAAATGTTAATTAAGTGTTTAAAAAATTGAACTTTAGGATAACATCTTCTGGTGAAAGACCTGAATTTTCCTAGTAACTGGAACTTTTTTTTGCTCGCTGTGTTTCAAGAGTCAAATGTTTCTTTTATGAGGGCTACCTTTTGGTTTTCAGGTGCTCCTTTTTCATTCTCACTAACTCCTTCGTCAAGTGATGCTGTCGCACAGTAACAATGACTTCTGTATTTGTGTTGATTTGTAAGGATTACAGATATTTGATTTGGAAATAAGTTGGAAAATGGAAGTTTAGAATCTTAGTTTTAACAACTCAAAGGAAATGTGCTGTATTCACTCATTAGTTACTCAACAGTGTGTAATTTTGGAGAAGTTGGATTTGGAACTTTTATGGGACGCATTGGCAGCAAGTGTCTTTGATTTTAAAAGGTGCCCAGCAACAGCTTTTGGATTGACTTTAAGTAGCAGTTTTGGCGGAGAACTGAGAGAAGAGGACAGACCTCTAAAAGTCCACAAACAAGCCAGATCTCTCTCTTTCCCTCTGTGAATGGAAAATGAATAACACTCAAATATTCTGAAATGAAGGACTTCTAACTCAAGCCAAAGAACTAGGTCTAACTAACTGGCTATCAAGTAAAGGATTGGCACAGCCAACAACATGATACCATCATCAAAAACCAAACTGTGGGAAGAGTCATCTTGTTTCTCCTTATAGTTTATATATTTTCCACCCTGATACTCCTGCAAACCTCGCTGTGTCTTCTATCTTGTTCATCCAATTTATGAATGAATGGGTGAGTGTTTGGATTTAAAGAGGGTATGGTTTAAGGTTGCACTTTGGCAATTAACAATCTGTTTCAGCCACTCGTTAAAGGATAAGCTTGTTATAATAAATACATTTTTGTTTTCTTGATGAAGCCTGGTGTGAATGATCAGATCTTAGGCTGTTGTCACAGTCAGTCGTTACCAAATTAATCACTGGGATGGTTAATGTCCACATTTGTGATGACTTGTAGAATAGTGAGATCTGATTTCCAGCAGACCCTACCCATTAGGGTCGTGACAACATATGTGCTTCTTGGACCTCGTCACATGAACTGAAATGGAATAATTCCTCAATATCACAAATAATTATTAACTCTTCTTTAAACTTTTAGCCACAACACAATGCCAAAACATTAGTTTTCTACACACCACAGTGTTTAAATTGGTATAAGAATAACAGGGATAAGTTAACAAAAGTTTTTTTTTCCAAAATAACTTACACACACATACACTTCTACACATGAGAAACCATCAGGCTGAATACTTTTTGTAGTCTGGTGAGGTGACAGCTCTGTCATTCCATTGCAATGGGCAAAGTGGAAACATTTAAACCAGGCAATTCCAACTCTATTTATGGCATCTCAGATCGAAATCCCAGATTTTAATTTAACAATTGTTTTGTTTAAATATAATTTTTATCCACTATATTTTTTTCCCCCAAATGTAGTCCTCCCGAAATTTTGCAGCTCTAATCTAGATATTCCACATTCATCTGCAAGGACTTAATTACCTCAGTAACTTAAAGTTCCCCGCTAGTTAGCTGACTATTCCTTCATTAACAGAGTTGAAACTGTTTTATAGATTCATACAGTGCAGAAAAGGCCCTTTGGCCAGTCACTGACATAACCACGATTAGAAGTGCGCTAATCCCAACTTCCTGTATTTTTCCCATATCTCTGAAAGTTAGGATATCTCAAGTGCTCATCCAAATTTTTTTTTTTAAAGGTTATAAGTTTTCCGGCCTCCAGTACGTTCCCATGCAGTGCATTCCAGATTCCCACCACCCTGAGTGAAAAAGTATTTTCCCAAATCCCCTCTGAATCTCTTGCACCTTACCCTAAAACTATGCCCCCTTCTGACTGACCCCTCATCCAAGGGGAACAGCTGCTCTCTATTCACCCTGTCCATGCGCCTCTTAATATTATTTTTCTCAATTATTACCACCACCCCCTCACTCTTCTCAATCAGTCCCCCATGAGGGACCTTGTTGGCAACATGTCAGCCTGGCAAAAGGCTCCACATCCTGGCCAATGGCGGCTCTTTGTGGCCCACCCACCAGCTCTCGGTGGCTCCCCCTCCCACTCCCCAGAGTCTGATGGGAGGAGGAATGAATGGCTGGGAGTTTCGTTTATCGTATAAGCATTACTAATCCGTTTTCTTTAGAAATGCCAATTTGTCTTCGGGGGTTGAGGCACGTCCGAACCCTCACTGATTTTCATTATTTTTAGTTTTTGTTTTTTTTATTGGTTTTGAATTGAGAGCTACAAATGACTTGTGGACGATGGAACAGCTTGTGGTAAAAGGAAAAGAACAGACCAAACAAGCTTTGTTTGTTACAGTCAGCTGTGGACCACATCCTGTTAGAAATTGGGGTCCCTTCAAAACTGATGCTTTCTTTAACATTTTCTTTGCAGCAGGAATTCCCATGCAACTGGTCACAATTTCTAATAACAATAACAAAACAAAGATATGATAAAGCTCAAAAAAACTACCACATTCCATTGAGCAGTCATTAAAGGATCTATCTGGTGCCATTTGCATCCTATTATCAGTGCAATGTTTTGGAAAATAAAGAGTTTTGTGAACAAAAAGAATGAAAACTAATTTTCAGATGAAGCTGGGACAGTAGGGAATGGTTAATCTGATGCTGTGAGTATTTGATCATAAGGGTGGCTAAACATTCATTGGTTAAAAGGATTCAGACAAGCCACAAACATTGTGTAGATTGTTAGCATCAACAAATGATCACGGTCGAAGGGCAGTCCTCACCAGGCAGCCCTTGTAGGAACCACTTCTCCTCAGGGAGCTACCTTCTTCAGATGAAAAGTGGATCAGACGAGATTGAGAAGGTTTCAGGGGAGGGTTCCTTAACACTGGCACAAGAGCAGGAAGCTGCCCTCACAACTTGACTGAGATTGACACACTCCATGCCAACTGCTTAGTCGTCAGCTGGCATCAATGAACCATCCTCAATTTTCATTGGTTCTATACTCTTTATTGTCTAAATAACTAATGTATAATTAACAAACTTCTTAACAAAGTCAATGAACGATCTGAAAATTTGTTACAAATGGTCCACTACCTCTATTGGGTAATTGTGAAACGCCCAAAAACTTAACAGCCCTTAAATTTGAGGGGCCAGGTTAATTTGAGGATGAACTAATCCACTGAACAAAAAACACTTGACAAGGTAACATTACAACTCAATAATAAAATGTTCAAACTTGAAATGAACTGTGGCTTTGAAATCTATTTTTTCAAAAAACTTGTTTGAATAGCTCAAAACAGTTTGAGCAGCTTGCATATTCCTGGACACGATGGGCAATTTAGCATGGCTAATCCACCCTAACCTGCACATCTTTGGACTGTGGGATGAAACCAGAGCACCCGGAGGAAACCCACGCAGACACAGGGAGAATGTGCAATCTCCACACAGACAGTCACCTGAGGCTGGACTCAAACCCAGGCCCCTGGTGCTGTGAGGCAGCAGTGCTAACCACTGAGTCATTAGACAAAAGCAAATTACTTTAGTCCCGAATAGTAGTCAGTTACGAAAACTGATCATGTTTTTGGTTTAATTGGGTGGTTACACATTCGTGACACCTACTGAAATAGTGGGACTGGATTATCGGCACACACTTCCCAATTGAGTCAAGGCTCATGTGGGCTTTGAACTCAATGACCAAACTCTCCAATTGTATCAATGGAGCCAAAACCCACAAAGCGGTTGTTGGTAACACTGTACGACTGGTACAATTTTACATATGTTTAAAGGTTAAGTTACTGTTCTGCTGTGACCGAGCCTGCCTGTAGATTTAGACAGGGAAGGGTAACACAGAGTGACAAACCCCAAGTGTCTGAAAAGCTATTTCCCACTAGGGCCACCAGAGCCTAAAGTTTCAGTTCATATCAGCCAGCATACAATAACAGGCTAGGTAGCTCTTCTGGCATCATGGTAGCTTCCCAACTCTGGGCCAGGAGGCCAAGGTTCCAGTCCCTCCTGCTCCAGAGGTGTGCAATAATATCCTCGAACAGGCTGATTAGAAAACTAACTACAAATAACAGCCCAGGTAATGTATTGGCATGGATAGAGGATTGGTTGACCAGTAGAAAGCAAAGAGTAGGGGTAAATGGGTGTTTTTCTGGTTGGCGGTCAGTGGCTAGTGGTGTGCCTCAGGGATCAGTGTTGGGACCGCAATTGTTTACAATTTACATAGATGATTTGGAGATGGGGGCTAAGTGTGGTGTGTCAAAATTTGCAGATGACGCTAAGGTGAGCGGTAGAGGAAAGTGTGCAGAAGACACTGAAAGTCTGCAGAGGGATACAGATAGTCTAAGTGAGTGGGCAAAGGTCTGGCAGATGGAGTACAATGTTGATAAGTGTGAGGTCATCCACTTTGGTAGGAATAACAGCAAAATGGACTATGTTTTAAATGGTAAAAAATTGCAGCACACTGCTGTGCAGAGGGACTTGAGTGTCCTTGTGCATGAATCACTAAAAGTAGGATTGCAGGTGCAGCAGGTAATTAAAAAGGCAAATGGAATTTTGTCTACCATTGCTAGAGGGATGGAGTTTAAAAACAGGGAAGCTATGCTGCAGCTGTATAGGGTCCTGGTGAGACCACACCTGGAGTACTGTGTGGAGTTTTGGTCTCCTTACTTGAGAAGTGATATACTAGCACTGGAGGGGGTGCAGAGGAGATTCACTCAGTTGATTCCAGAGTTGAGAGGGTTGGATTATAAAGGAGAGACTGAGTAGACTGGGATTATACTCATTGGAATTCAGAAGAATGGGGGGAGATCTTATAGAAACATATAAGATTATGAAGGGAATAGATAAGATGGAGGCAGGGAGGTTGATCCGCTAGCAGGTGAAACTAGGACTAGAGGGCATCGCCTCAAAATAAAGGGAAGCAGATGTAGGACTGAGGTCAGGAGGAACTTCTTCAGCCAAAGGGTTGTGAATCTATGGAATTCCCTGCCCAGTGAAGCGGTTGAAGCTACCTCGCTGAATGTTTTTAAGGCAAGGCTAGATAAATTTTTGAACAGTAAAGGAATTAAGGGTTATGGTGAGTGGGTGGGTAAGTGGAGCTGAGTCTGAAAAAGATCAGCCATGATCTTATTAAATGGCGGGGCAGGCTCGAGGGGCCAGATGACCTACTCCTGCTCCTAGTTCCTATGTTCAATAAAAGCAGGAAGTTCTGGAGAAACTCAGCAGGTTTGGCAGCATCTATGGAAACAGAAACAGAAGGTCAATGTTTCAAGTCCAATGACTTCTTCAGAACTCAGTATGAGGGAAATTGACTCTTTCATCAATACATTGTAATCATGGAATCTGTGCCCACACTCCCCATTCTAAATCCCAGGGGAATGACTTTTACCAAAGTGTGACAATTTGAGGTGTATTAAATGCAATATTTTTAAACAAAGGGTAAACTAGTGTTCCAATAAATGAAAAGGTTTGATAGATCTGCACAATTACCTTGAGGACTGACCTATGCAGGAACAGAGCAAGCAACTGGATAAGGTCATAGTGCACATAGCCATCCTTTTTCTCAATGCCAATGATGTTGGGAAGGTAGAATGGCTGATTAAAGTAATACATTCGATAGGAGGTGCTGGTCCAGGGGAAAAATCCAAACTGAAAGCAGTATTTTACAACAACAGTGATCTGTAGAGACAGGAACAAGAGTGAACAGTAGTGAGATATTTGATACGCTGTGGAGGGCCAGTGATATGCACCTTACTGGGAAATGGCCAATGACCAATGAAAGCTTCACAAAGTGAAGGACAGTCACACTCATTATGGAGATCTGAGGAAACATGGTATAGATTTAACAACTAATAACACACACTATAACAAACAATTGTACCACTCTTTGTACCTGTAAGATTAATAAGAATGGCAGCAGCAGTGAGGGAACCAGGTGAGGCAGTCTCAATGGTAAATTAAAGACCTGGAATATTGCTGTAGTGCTAGCACTCTCACTATGTGGGTGTGGAGGGGTTATTTATCAATGGAGATGGACAGTCACAAGGCAAGATGACCAAATGTGTGCTGTTTTGGATAAGAAAGTCAAAAGTTTTATTTTGTAGAAATCTAATTTTGTTTGTAGCTACAGTTTAAATTTTCAGTTCAAGCACACCTTTTAACAAGGCTCCAGTGGAAGAGCAGAGATAACAAGGTGTAGAGCTAGATGAACACAGCAGGCCAAGCAGCATCAGAGGAGCAGGAAGGCTGACGTTTCGGGTCTGGACCCTTCTTCAGAAA